TTCATTTGCGTTTACAGTTGTGTGTGTGTGTGTGTGTGTGTGCGTGTGCGTGTGTGTATGTGTGCGAGTGTGCGTGCGTGCGTGTGTGTGTGTGTGTGTGTGTGTGTGTGTGTGTGTGTGTGTGTGTGTGTGTGTGTGTGTGTGTGTGTGTGTTTAGACAGACAAATAATTAGATAGGTATAGATATTCATGAGATACAAACATGTATATATAGATACTTACATATAGATTAGCGGTTCTTAGCATTTTTTGCCACCGTTTCCTCCTAGATTTTAAAGAAAATCATATATTCTTGGTATCTTTATTTAATATGAATTAGTCACATTATTATCAAACTTATCATTATTAGTCATGCTCTCGCTAAGTGAATATCAAATATCATCTGTGAAATTCATACTTTTTTCCCATTGGTTTGCGTCTCTCTGGGGAATTACTATAGCTCAGTAATCTATCAGTTCATATATTCATATTTACTTTTTTTGTAATTTTGCAGGTTAATGCAAAATGCACTATACACGGTACTCACACATACACACAGTTTTATTTACTATTTTTTTTGTGTTTTTGCTTTCCCTTTTATAATGTGATGCAAAAGAAACAAAAGATTATGGGATACCTTTTTTATTATGCAGTAATAAGATTATTGCTAGTTACCATCACAAGTCACAGGTAGGAACAGTAACTGGGCCTACAGGTAAATTCATCTTAGTTTAAAATAAACACATACGATTAAGTACACCTTCACAACCATACGCTTTGACTGGATTCATGAAGTAAGTGTGTGTGGGTGTGTTTGTGTGTGTGTGTGGGGAGGGGTGTTTGTGTGTGGGGGTGTGTTTGTGGGGGGGTGTTTGTGTGGGTGTGGGGATGTGTTTGTGGGGGTGTTTATGTGTGCGGGTGTGTTTTTGTGTATGTGGGTGTTTTTGTGTGCGTTTCAGTATTTACGTGAGTGTGCAAACTCTCAGTTCTGAACAACTAACTAGCCTTACCTACACCCGTGAGGTGAAGAAACAACCTGAATTTTCCACTGTTTCGCTTCGGTGCTTCGCTCTCTCGGTTCGAAATTCGAGAATAAACAACTTGAAGATAATTCATAAAATATGGAAAACTCGAAATGGATCGTTGTTCAAGAGGAAACTGGCTAAGTAAAATCAATATTTAAGGAAAACATTTCGTAAATTGTCATAAAAAAATGTGTTTATACCTCTTTTTTTAGGCTTGTATATACTCATTGTTTACTGGTTTCGACTCACCTTTATTTTCAGACCTGTTTGATTCATCACCGTGAGATTCCATATATAGATAGCCAGTCTTTTGAATAAAATAGTCTCCTGAATCCATCTTCTACAGACGATTAGCCGAGACCAAAATTTGTTTTATTTCTGAAGCCTCGACGAAAGAATATGGGATAAAAATCTACCGAGAGGAAAACATCCAAGCGTTTAATGATTTCACACGAGCGCAAGGCAACTGAATATCTATGTCAATACTTCAACTTAATACTTTATAATAATAGAAAATCACAACACGTGAAAAAAAATGTTTATTTTAAAACAGTCAAATACAAGCACACTGTACAGCATTCAACATTATGACAGGCCATTTGAATCAAAATATTAAAACTAGTGCATAACTTGGGGGTTGTCATTGATCTTAGCAATTTTTTTAATACAATGCTGTTTGTTTCAATAATCACA